AAGAGAATTTTAGAAAAAGGAGGGCCGATATATTAATAACTACATCTGGGGCCACAAGCACATGCCTCCCTAGCTTGTGGCTAGGGCCGGCTCTGCGCGTAAGAGGGGACCATATCATTGTTTGTTTTGTTCAAAAGAAATGGACTAACCTAGCTGAATTGGTCATTTGAATTTAGTTCATCGGTTAGGCTGGTTATATGGGTCAATCTCAGTTCGACTACTAAGTCTACAAAGTTTTTCTTCCCAATGATATGTGTCTTTTGGATATTATTGTTCAGATTTGTATAATGTGGATGTGGTGATATATAATGTGGATAAACCGATCCAAACCGTCAATCCAGAAGCTAGATTTTTTATACTACATATATTGACAATAATTTTCCTGCAAAACGAAAATAATAAAAACTGATGATCAAACACTAAATTATGATAGTCAAGAATTTGAAAAAATGAGTTACAAGAATCGTAAACCTTATCGTTTAAAGATGAACACTGGTTGTATCCTTGTTGCTGAAGTTAGTGATGGATGACAACAGTGAGCAACAACAACGGGAAACACATTTGATTGTTGAATTAATTACGGATTTTGCCATTTTTTATAATGGCATTTATGGATTTTGCCCTTTTTTGAATAATTTATAGATTTTGCCCTTTTTTAGGCTCCAAAAATATGATTTAACATGCGTTTCATTCGTTATGTTTGGGTTTAGTCGGTTCCAGTTGTTCTTAGGGTTTAGTATTTGGTATAATATACGTATTTTTGCAAAAAAAAATCATAAATACGTATATTTTTAAGTGTTAAAAAAGGACAAAATCCATAAATTATTCAAAAAATGACAAAATCCATAAATGCCATTATAAAAAAGGGCAAAATCCGTAATAATCCCTTTGATTGTTTGTTTCAGTGTTACTAACTACGAGATCAAAAATAATATTTATTTTGTTGTTGTTGGTTCAACGAATTGTCACCAAATCAGCGATGATGAAACAAATATGAATTCATTGTTGAATGAAGTTATGAAATCTGATCAACTATTACAAAACAAACATAAATTTTGTTAGCCCAACCCACTCTACTAAAAGTCAATGGTCGCAAAGTGAAAGGGACCAAACCACCCTGGCCTTGGTTTCCGTGACAAGTTATCAATTGCTCACAAATCCATGCTTTCAATAAACAAAGACTTTTCATTTTCTTTCTCTATTAATGTCTGAAAGTAAGATCAAAACACCCTGTAACTCTTACGTATCCTTCTTTTAATTAAATAAACACTTGGTATTATTTAATTTGTTAGCCAAAAGAAATTCTTGCTAATCGTTGTCACATATGTTATCACTATTGTTTGAGATATGGACAGTCTGGACGGGAGAGACAGATCATGGGTCAATTTTTTAATTACGTTTTATATAAATTTAATCTTGTGTCATTTCTAATATTCCCTCCGTTCTTTTATAAGTGATGTTTTAGGAGAATGCACATCGATTAAGAAATCATTTAATTTTTGTTTATTTCTAAACTAAAACATCATTTATTATCTAATCAACCAATAAAAAAAAAAATCTACAGAATATAAATCGTCAAAACCAATAAAAATGTAATTAATTTTGTATTGAAAACTGAAAACATCATCTATTTAAAAACAAAATTAGAAGCTTAAAACATCAATTATTAAAGAACGGAGGGAGTAGTATAATTTGTGTATTGGATCTACATTATTTAGTCATAATAATTTAACTTGTGTTCACATTAGTCAAGTCATCTCCACATGATGGGAGAGGTTGGAGGATATATGTATTAGACAAACATAATGGATCATAACCAAAACTGTAAAAAAATGGCTGCTAATGAAGAAGAGCCAATATGTCGTTTGTCTCATCCAACTCGCCCTCACACCCTCTCCCGTAGAGCCGGAAGAATCCCTCCATTGGGTTGCTTCGCGTGCGACAAAGAAGAACCCTCACCATGTTCTACTTTCCATTACTCCTGCACCACTTGTGATGTTGAGTTCCACGATATTTGTCACGTGTATCCGAGGAAGTTCACACACCCTTATCACCTTCAACATCCTCTCACCCTCACCACTCAAATCACTGAAATAGAGATCATATCTAACCAAACCGAATATGGTTACATATTCAAAAATGTAACTGGTGTGGAGATGATTTGAGAGATGGATCACAATTCTATCGTTGTTCTATCTGTAACTTTTGTTTGGATCTCTCTTGCTCCCAAAATTTTCCAACTCTTACTATTACAAATCCGAAAAGCCACCATCATTCCCTCTTTTTATTTCCTTGGCCACTCCTAATTCCATGTGAAGCTTGTGGGCTGGTTAGTTTGTTGGAACCAAGTTATGCTTGTTTCCAATGCAACTATGTGGTTCATGAGAGTTGTATCGACTTACCGCGTGTAATAAAAATCACGCGTCACCCACATCGCCTCTCTCACACTCCTTTCCTTCCACCCACAACTCTATTTTGTCGAGTTTGCTACGAGACGGTCGACATTAAATATGGCCAATATTCTTGCGATCATGAAGGTTGCTCTTATGTTGCCCACTCCAAATGCGCAACACATAGGCATGTTTGGGACGGAAGAGAACTCGAATGGGAACCAGAAGAACCCGATGAAACGGAAGATATTGCGCCATTCAAGATTGTGGGTGATAATATGATAAAATATTTTTGTCATGAACATCATCTAAAGCTTGAGAAGTATGATAGTGTTCAAGACGTAAAGAAACAATGTCAAACATGCATCCTTCGTATCGACTCTTATAATTTCTACAACTGTATGCAATGTGACTTCTCTCTTCCTGAGGTATGTGCTGGTCTTCCTCGAAAAGTGGCTCATGCATTGCATAATTAAGCATCCTCTTGCTCTAGACCCTTCTCCTATACTCGATTACAGTTCCACAAGTTGTTCAACTTGCGCCCGTGAGTCCACTGGTTTAGGTACAAATGCTCAAAAACTGATTGCGACGATGAGATAACGATTCAGATAGATTTTCGATGCATTTTAGTTCCTGATTGTTTCACCCACAAAAGTCATGAACATCCTTTATTCATCTCCACATCCTATTCTAGAAAAGGTAACATTTCTTGTGATGGTTGCAAAGATAGTGTTCGGGATGAGTATTATATGCAATGTACTATTTGCTCTTTTTTTTTTCTTTTTTTTTTTTTTTTGAATATACCTGGAGGTTCTGAGCCAAAGCCCGTAATCCCCCCCAGGTCCGAAACCACAGCATGTAATATTAGTTTCGTCCCAACCGTCACTCGAGCCGGCGACCTCTAAGCTTCGCCTAGGATTTTTACTAGTTGAGCTAACGACACTTGGTACTATTTGCTCATGCTACAATTCCATATGAGTTATATTACAAATATGATGCACATCTTCTCTCGCTATGCTATGGAGAAGATGCAGAGAAAGCATATTAGTGTGAAGTATGCGAGACAGAATTGAATTCAAGAGAATGGTTCTACTCATGCAACAAATGTTGTATCACTATCCACCTTGAGTGTATATTCGGATCTTCCATTTATATCAAGTCAGGTTACACGTTCTATTTCGACTCTGTATCCATGAAAATTCTTGGCAACAGTAGTCACACTCGGCCTCGCGGACAAGTTCAGGCGGATTGCGGGTTTTGTCCGCGGATTTGCGGACCGGCCCGCGGACGACAAATATTTAATAAAAATAATTAATTAATATAAATAAATAAATACTTTTACATAATTCTGAAAATATATATGTAAAATATATGAACATATAACGAAATTTAATGTATAGAATTATAAGATTTACAAAAAAATTAATATTAAAAGTTTTTTTTCATTTAAAAATTGTTAATTTCAAATTTTAATTATTAATTTTATTTTTTAATTATTTTAAAAATATTAAAACTAAGCCCGCGGGCCGGCCCGCTAACCTGTTGGGCTTAGTGGGGCGGGCCTGGACATATCATTTTTGTCCGCGGTCCTAGCGGGCCGGCCCGTCGCGGTTTCACAAACTTAAATGGCCATCGCGGGCCGGCCCAGATGGATGCGGGCCGGCCCCTCGGACACCTCTAAGTGTGACCACCGTTGCCCGGGTTCCATATACTACAAGTTGTTTGAGAAGGATTTTTGTTCATGGCTTTGTGTTTGGACATCCGACATCGAAAGTTTAGACAATACCGGAGAGGAATAAGCTTTAGATAATTTTTTTGGACCGTGAAGGACAGTTCTTTTTATAATAGATTCGACATATTTTACCTATGTGTTTGAGTTTATGTATGGCAACAATGTAAGCTAAGTTATTAATAAAGTTGATTTTTTGGCTAAGTATAGGAATGTGACTTGTCTCTTGTTTTTTTGAATTTAATGTTAAATTATATTCAAAAGAAAAATAAATGTTTTTACAAATAAATGCAAACTTTTTGAAACATTTTGCCATTTTGGTCTGGTTCAGAGTTAAATACACGTAAAGCGGGAAAATGGCCTATTTCAACCTGAACTTTTTCGATCGTGCCTTTCATATACAAACAAAGTTAAAATGCTTATTTCAACCTGAACAATCAAAATATTCAAATAACCTACATGAACTTCACTAAAATTGTCTACATATCTATTTTTTTAATAAAATTTATCTCAGCTTTAAATTATATATTTATGGTACAGTTAACAAACTCTCTTCTTATTATCTGATTTCACAGTAATTTGATCTGCATCTTAATTTTTACATACTTAAACTGCCTTACACTTTCCACACAACAGAAACAGAGGAAATAGATAATATTGTTTATAAGGGGCAAATGTGGCAGCAGACATACAGAGGTTAAGCTATATAGATTACATGATGTTGCAAATGCACGGTAATTAGTATATTTGCAACATCATGCTTGGCTTAGTGTTAGATTTTGAGGGCGAGTGGGTGATGATTTATTTCTAGTAGTACAACTCAGAGAAGAGACAAGTAGATAGCTCTGTACATGTTTTATGAATCACTTTTGTCACTGAATTAAAATAAGCTTGAAATTTTGAAACACAATGCTCTTCTTTAAAACATTATTAGATAAATTATGTAGAGCTTTTAGTCACCCCTTTTCCTTTTGCCTTGAGCTCGCTTGATTTTGTTCAAACTTGGAACATAATTAAGAATAGCGTGCCAACATACTTGCACTTTATCAACTCCAAAATCCACTGTTGTGACTATATTATCCTCACCCACAAAGTATATAATGTTTTTGGTATCGCCTTCATCTTCAACATCAATCAATGTGTCACAATACACCAAGACTTTCTTCTCCTCATGTAGCAAGAAACTTCCCTCATGAGGAATTTCAAGATCAGGGCTCAAATCCAATGCAAAGACCTTGCTCCATGACACCACCACCGCTTTGGCGGTGGTCTCATCAATCTTAGTTGACACCCATATCTCAGTCTTGGATCTTTTATCTCGCTGTAATAACACGGAAAGCTTCGCTTCTCTAACAACGGAAATACATGAAGTTTCAAATGTCCTACACTGATAGGGAAGAGGCACAGCTACAGATTTCTCTGTTGAATAATCAATCTTGAGCACGGATACGACATTTAAGGGCGTTTTTGTTTTATCTATAGCTAACATGTAAGTATTTCCCTTCAAAGACACAGACACTTCAGAGTATAGCAAGCACCAACCTGGAGATATATCACCAAGACTCCTCCATGTACCAGAGTTAAAATCATACATTTCGAAAACGTTGATTTTACGATAACAGCTCAAGACTTTGTAGCTCTTATTATTATTGCTGCTGTCTCCTTGGCGGCTGTATCCGATATGGAAGAAGCGGCATCCGTGGCGAGGATTGCTGGTATCGATCCACCTTTTTTCACCAGTTAATGGGTTCCAAACCCAGGTTATAGATTTGTCATCCTGGGAGTAGCATAACAAGACTCCGTCACAGTGAATGACTTCGTTTATATCGAATTGAACTGAATACTTAGACCGAGGATCGGGTAAGCTAAGCTCACTTTTTAACTCTACAGATGGAATAGTTGTATTGAGATTGATGCTCAACGGAGCAATATTGAAGTGTTTTGTCAACATGAGATGCATAAACTGCTTTTCAATAAATATGGTGAAATTCCTTTTTTTGTATTCCCTTAGCCACCCACGAGTCACGATCTTTCACTTTTTTCCTTTTTCTTATTTGGTGTCTACTTTTATTTTTTACTCCTAGAGAATAAAATCTTGTTCAATAACGATCGTTCTCTACATTTATATCATCATAAGATGTCGATCAAAGCTGTTTTTAAGATATAATGGGATAAGCAAGAAAATCAACAGGAATGGGTACATGGATACTGTGTTACGAATCATTTCATACGATATTTGTTATATGTGAAGGACTTTTGGAATAATGGTTCTGGCTTCCGATAAAGAAACAAACTAATGTCATCTCTATAGAAACGAAGAAAACTATGTGAATCTAAATGAAACAAAGACACAAATAAATATATAATTTACTCAGGGCCAAAATTTCTCTCTACTAGTGACCAAATAAAAAACAAAATGAAATAAATTGGTTCAAGTTACTACCACTACATGTCGTACCTAAAAATTGTGAAGTGAGACCGTGACTGAAGGGAGATCTTCTGATTCATTAAGAAGGTCTCCATCTTGGCTTTAGGCCCCCAAACACCAACCAGTAGGGTAACCATTTCACCTAAAGAGGCTTGAGAGATTTCTCGGTCTCTTCGTCTTCTGTGATGATAAGGAGTCGCTCTTCTCTTTGCTAGACACTTGCTGACTTGATTTCTCAAGAACTTTTAGAAGATCACTCATAGATTTATCAGACACCAAGCCGTGTTTTGCTTCTTGAATCTCCTTCATAGGCAAGTCGTTGTGTTTCACTTTTTGTGTCTCCTTCGAACGGTTCTTTGAAGTCTTTTGCTTAGGCAGCTCGCAGATCGGTGCATTTGTATCATGCTTGTTACTCTGATGCTGATTCTTTGCTGGAACAGAGATACTTTCAACCGCCTCTTGGTCATCTGATCTCGACCTCTTTGAAGTCTTTTGCTTAGGCGGCTCTGAGACTTGTGCTTCTTTGCTACGCCGTCTTTTCAGCTTTTGAACTACAGACTGATCTTGATTCTTTGCTGGACCAGAGAGGGTTCTTGGACATACCTCGGTCTCTTGGTCGATCTTCTGTTCACTCTCTTTTCTCGTCCTCTTCAAAATCTTCAGAACAGATGATGCATTTGAGTCATAGACTGGAGTGTGATTGTTGTTCTCCTCCTTTGACGATTTAGTAACGAACAACTCATCCTTCTTCTCCAAGCAAGCCGCTGAAACAATTTGATTACTGGTGCTCTGCTTCTTCTTGACAGAGTTTAGAGGTTCAATGACGATACCTTCTGTGATGGTGTCCAGAATGATTTTGCCAAGAACAAATCTTACTTCGCATGGATTTCCCTTCCCAAGTAAGAGATAATCAATAGAGAATCCCTCCTTTTTGCTTTCGTATGATTCAACATCACTTAATCTCGCCAACCCTTCTGCTACATCTCTCCCCTTTCTCTTCGGTATAAACACCTAAAAAGCCAGATAAATCAATTATAATGTTAACTGCTAGATTAAGAAAACGTTAAGCAAATATCTGGGCTAGTTTGAATCTGAGCACAAGACCAAACATAGAATAGGAAACTTGAACTGCGAATATATGTCTTAACACAATAAATCTTTATACTCAAACTGAATAGTAAAATGCACTTTGTTTGTACTTACCAGACCAGAGAATTTGAAATCCGGGTATAGGTATAGGGCTTCGCGGAGAGCCTCTATATCAGTCAGAACGTATTGAGTATCTTTTAAAAGACATGTGAATTCTGAAACTGCTTCTGCAAGATCTTCATCAGATCTCTTTCTCGAAAATTTAGATACCTCAGGAGCGTATCCGACTACTGAAGTTTCATGTTCTCTAGCAAATTTGACAGCTTTGCTCCAGTTTCTATGGTAGAGCAAAGCGGCGAAAGCACGCACCACAATAGCCTCCTGGGGGTTACGCACTAGTGCAATGTGAAAGGCCAACACTGCAATCCTGAGTAAAACAAATCAGGACATTAACCAGAGCTTATTGAAGAGAAGATTCATATTCCTATTGATATAAAGAAAATAACGCACCATAGTTTGGGGTCAGCAGGTTGATCGCAGGAAACCAATTTATCCATATTGGAGAATAATCTCTGAAGAAACCATATAAACCAAACTCAGAAATGTCAAAATGGGTTCACCAGAAAATGTCCTTGCAAGAAGATATCACGTACCACTAGCATCAAGGAACTTGATAGAGATGTTTCACTAGCTTGATCCAGGTAAGCTGCCTGAAATTCAAATTCATCCAAGTTAAGAGTGTTAAAAAGAAAGAGAGAGAGAGTTGAAGATTGACGAGTAAGCAAATGGGTATACCTGAAAAGGAAGTAACACGTGAAGTAGTTTGAACTTCATGAGAAGAAGGATGGAAGGCGCAGCAGCTCCATACGCAAGCATATAATTCATTTCCATGATTAATCTAAACTGAGCAAAGACATAGCATGATTTTAATAGCTGAGACCATGGACAAATATTATTTAACATAAAGGAAGTGATTCAAGCATCCATGTTCAAGCAGTCAAAGTACCTGGTCCAAATTTGCAACGGAAGATACAAATTCAGGTATTGCAGTCTCAATATCCTTTGACAATGATAGACCCAATCGTGCTGCAATTCTTAACCCCCTAAGAATTCTAGCTGTATTTAAAGAAAACCATGACACAATGGTTAGGACTTTAAACTACATAAAGTACCTTGTCTAGATACAAGGCCGTGAGGAGAATAAATAAGGTATACCACAATCTTCCTTGAATGACAAATGTGCAGGGACAAGTGTACGAAGCTGCATTTTTATTAGCGAACAATGGTTAATAACATAAGAGATACTATAGATATGTCCAGAAAAAGTAAGCTAAGTTAGTCACCTTAAGATCCGTCAAGTCTTCCATTCCATTGGCATAGTCATAAATTTTTAACTCAAAGGGATTATAGAACAAACTGCACCAAGATTTAATACCACAAGTAAGTGGGTGTGTAATTGTGTATGATGCAGCCAAAACAAAAAATAGTCCCTTTCGGTACAAGCAAATGTTTCAGAAACTCCACCTGTTAATTGTGAAATCCCGCTGCAAGCTATTCCTCCAACGATTACAGTCTTTTACATCCCAACCAGAATACATTGTGAAGAGGCTGTTATTTTTGTTTGCCTCGGTATCCAGTGAAACACCAGATTTCTCTTTAGACTTCTCCAAATCATCTTCATGCTCACTGTCACTGTGTGCCACGGTATCAAAACTGGACACCTATAAGAGGAGTGTCAGGAAATACCCAAACCATACAGAAGCCTAAAACAGAAGACAAATAACACAACTCTAAAATTCGGAAAAAAAACCAATGTAAAGGCCAAAAAACTGACCTCAATTATCGAACCTCCCATCCACACATGACAAATAGGAAACCGTTTCCCAATAACCTGAGCACGATGAAACAGCCGTCGGATCTATAAACAAACGAAATGCGTGAAGCAATAATCAAAACATAAGGTCTTGAACAAGGTAACATAATCAGACAATCAATCCACTAAACCTGCTTAAGATTAGCTGTAGTGATCACATCATAGTCTTTTGGCACTCTATGCAGTATCAAATCCCTTACACATCCACCAACAAGGTATGCATCGAAACCTACGACAATGATCAAACAGTTCAGCGTCTTCTTAATCTTCTACATCAATGCTAACAGTTCACCTAAAACATACAAAACACAAACCTTGACGTCTAAGGAGTCTCAAGACATTCATAGAGGATTCAGGGATCATTGAATTTCTAATTCCAGCATCACTTGCTCGTACCTTCTTCCACTTCGATGTATCAACTGTTAAAATCGAAACAAAAAAGGAACAACCTTTAACTTAGAACATGTAATTAAGTCTGAACCAGTATCACAAAAACACAAAAGCACCTGAATTTATATCTTCATCAATAACTGAACGAATGCTAGAACACTTCTCCATGACTCCCTCAGCAAGCGTGCAGTTACTTCTCTGCAACTAGAGGCCAGAATAAACCCGCAGATGAAGGGTTCGACTAATTGCCGCAGAGAGATTAACAAACAAAACGAGAGAATCCGAAGAGAAGAAATAACCCACCTTGGAGTAGAAAGCGGATAGGGTTTGAGAACGAAAGAATACGTTTCCGTTGCGCCTAATGAAACCCGCCATGGCAAAGACTCGAAAACATGGCTCTTTAAGCCAAAAGTAGAACCATTTTTGCAGAGAGCAGAGTCGCGACTTTTTAGGTTTTCAATTGCAAGTTTAGTCACAAGTGTGTGTACTCTAACCTACCGAACCAGAGTTCATGCCCGGTACGGTTTAGGTACCAATCCCGGTTTTTCGGGTTTTAATATTGCTAAACCGAAATTCCATTGTATATCAATATGCAATCAATCTGAACCATTAACGATCTAAATTTATTGGTTTAGATCTAAATTTATTGGTTTAGATCTAATTTTGGTTTGAGAAAACACTCGTGAAACACAAATCTTAAAGAGTCTGGATCTTACAAGAACAGAACAGGAAGTAAGATGTCTTTAGGGAGGACTTTTGGTTAAGGGTTCATAAAGAAAAACTCAAATGAGTTCGTGTGTAAAATACATTGCTTGTTCTATGTAATCGTTTACTTTCGATAGTATCCACAAGAGCATCACATCACATTACAAAGCCAAAAAGAAAAGAGAGCTTTTGTATATCCTTCACTTCAGGACAATCACAATTGTTTCTTCCTCTTCTCCAAGTATGAATGATTTCTTTGGAAGTTCAATACAGCCCAGAGCAGATGCTTCAGACCAATCTCAGGCCACAGAGCAGCCGGAGAGAAGAGCTGGGTATTACCTGTTTGCCATAAAAGAAAATTGCTCAGCCTTGTCTCTCCTGAACTCCTGACGAGTATATCAGGATCCGGAGCCACGCTCATCCGCATATTCTCCTCAATATCCACCAACTGTATCCTCTTCTCCTGGTTCTCCATATCTGTTCCTTCTATATCACTATCTCTATCCTCGTGTTTATAATTACCAGATGCTTCAATATTGTCTGACGTGTTAATACAAGATTTCTTGACAGCTTGTACGATCTCATCTGTCGAGTTATAGGCAATGCAGATGAGAAGCACTACCCGACTATTCTTAGCTGTGGCCTTCATGACTTTTTCTGCAGCAGCTCTCACTTGGTCATTTAGCAGCGCCAAATTACCGATAAAATAGACCCGAATCCCATACTGATGCACAATACTCTCTTTCTCAAGCAAAGACTTTATCTTTTCCAGCATTAAATCCATTAGAGACTGAACCTCCTCAGGTTTTCTTCTAAAATTATCTATGCTAAATGCGTATATCGTTACATACTTGATACCCAGCTCATAGCAGTACTGCAGCATCGACATAAGCGCAGAAAACCCTGCTTGATGACCAGACCCATCTTCTAGACTGTGCTTTTTTGCATATCTCCTATTTCCATCCATGATAAAGGCGAGATGACTAGGTATAGGACCCATAGATATGACCCGAAACAAACATCTTCTCGAAAACCCATATATCTGCTCTATCAATTGACTAATTCCACCGCTCATACGTCTTATTTGACCTGGAAGTTCAGCCATAGGAGATTCCTTCCAGTATCCTCAGCTCTCAGCTGTCTCTAAGGGAATGCAAAACATTCAAAGGTCTTGTCAGTATAAGGTGAAAACAAGAAATATCAACAGCACACACGACAACCTATTCCATCATTTCATAATGAACAAATTCGTTCTACACAAGTACATATGTATCATCTTCTACGATCCATATCTATCAAATCAGCAACAATGATGCCAAACCAAGATGCTCTTTGAACAACTCATTTCACAAGACATAATAAATGCTTCCCCTTTATTCATACTAATGTTCAACATATCCGTCCAAAGTTCTATAACAAATTCTATATTTACTAAGAAGCTGATGTCACCAACAAACAGAGTGTTGGTTGCAAACAGTGGCATGAACTCATGGAGTTAGTTAAAATATCCCTCAAATAGAAAACTAAAAAACTCTCACTTGGAACCTAACCAAGTCAGGGTTTTAGCCTCGAACCCGATTACGGAAACAAAATCCACACAAGAAAAAAAAAAACAATCTGAAAATTCGCATGCTTTTGAATTTCGAAACAAAGATTAATGGATCAAACGAATCAATCAACAGATTCAGAGAATAAGAAACAAAAACTCCAATCTTAACAATACCCAGAAACGCGAGAACACTTGAAAATCCAAAGCAAGTATATCCAACAAAATTAGTAAAACATGGTGTTAACTGTTTGTATAGCTCGATCCTCTTACCTGAGAGATAGCGAGATCAAGCTCTTAGCTTGCAAAGGAAATCGAATTGAAGAAGCAAAAAGGGAGATTTCGAAATCAAAGCTCGCCACTATTTGGATCGGAAACAGATGAAATATCTTCTCAACAAAAAGTTGTCGGCGCGAGCGAGATTATCCGTTCAAGAGCTCTGACTTTGAAAGAGAAAGGCAGAGAGAAGAGAAGAGAGGGGAGGGGAATATTTTACAGGGGAATAATATAAATAACCGGTACCGGTTAAATCTAATTGACCCGATAAAACCCGGTTCTGGTTTACCTATTTGGGTTTTATTAGAAAGCATGGTGCATTGCATTCGCAATGGGCTTTGGTTTGGATTTTGTTTGGGATCTGACTTACATATTAACTGATTTGTACGTTTCTAGTTTTAATTTTTAACCGGATTCATATTTAGTTTCAAAATACTTTAAAGTGTTACCTTTGGTGATATGATAAGCCAATAGAAATTAAAAAAAAAAATGAATGAATGAGTACACTCCAAGATTTAAGAAGCAAAATTGCTTTGCAATTTTTGAAATGGATAAACTTTTAAAAACATATGTAAGAGTTAATTCCTAATTCAAAAGAAAATAAAGTGAATGGGAGAAATCTCCGATATATAAACAAAAAAAATAAAAATAAAAAATTTATTAAACATGTAGAATCTAAGAGAGAGTTTATAAATCATATTGTTGCACCACAAAAAACATCAAGATTTAATCACCAACAATGTCATTGTCACCGCATATACAACCCAACTAGAAATTGACCCGCGGTACACCGCGGGTTAAGTTATTTTATAAAAATCGTAAAGTAAAATAATTGAATTAATATATTTATATATATATGAAAATAATGTATGTTTTTAAGGATACTTATAGTAAATACTATATCGTTTACGATAAGGATGTTCTAAGATTTATTTTTAAATATATAGTTATGAAAAAGTATATTTGAAATAATTAACGTTTGATGGCGTTTGTAAATTTGAATTGTGTTTTATTTATAGATTTATAATAATACAGAAATTGAAGTTTATAATTTTTTGTAATTGAAAATAGATATTTCATTACTATTTGAATATTGAATTAAGCAATATATAAAACTGTATGTTTAGTTTTATTTGGACAAAAATATCTAGAATTGTAAATATATTAGTTTTTGTAATGAAGTTTTGGTTATATGATTTATTTTATAGATTTTTACAATTTGTTTCATTACATATGTGTCAATTACTAAAAAAAAAGAAAGGAAAAGACAAAAGAAAATTTACACAAATTACTCTACATAATAAATCGTCGAAATCGTAAAAGTTTATGTTTTTATTAATGTTTATTTTCGGATGTATTATCCTTTTTGGTGGGCTCTCAGTTGGACCTCATCTTTGGAATGTTCAATATAATATGTTACACTTGTGAGTAAAAAAAAAAAAAGACCTGAGAAAAAGAAACCAATTAACTTTCCTTCTCAAAACAAAAATCCCATTTCATCTTCTTCTTCTCTTACGATTGATGTAAAAAAGGATCTCTTACGATTCTCATCAACAATCTTCAAATTTCTTTGTCGATTACGGATCCGTAATGAAAAAGACCATGTTCGATAAGTCAAGATCGGAACCTAACTTCGAAGAGCTCCGATGTATAATCCAACGACGGGATGTGGTTTTGATTCGAAGAGTCGATGCCAAAATGATAAGCAAATATTCAATCGAAGAAAATCTATGGTAAACCGAAGATCCAATCAACCCATGGAAACCCGAGAACAACAAATCAGATCCCATTGAAATTTTTTGTCTCGATTCAAAGGTAAGAGATTTTCATAGTTCCTGCTACTGTAATAATCGAATAAAAAACATTATAGTCCGAAAATTGATAGTGAAAACAGTGAGAAATGGAAATAGATATGTATTGCATCAATTAGGTTACATCGTGGGAGTAAATGAAGAATGTATTCCTTTGCAGGTGAGATTAAATTATATGAAACAACTCTAGAAGTTGCAGTAAGACGTCATCAAATTGATATGAATTATTAGTAGTAACAAAAGAAACAAATATGGTTTCATATCAAATTATACTTGTCAAAGTGTCAAATAACTCAAAATCGTCACTATGTGTTTAGTTTATATCAGCTAGCTAATTCCATAAATAACTAACATAATCAAACAAATAAAGCATGTAAAGAGTAAACGTCTGGTTATTTATACATATCAATGTTTAAACCTACTGTTTTATTTGAATCTAAAACATTAGTTTTGCAGGTAAAACTAAAGTCAAGTAAGGTCATAATGGAGCTACAACTTTGTCTCAACAAATTATATTACATGCAGCAGGTAAGTTACTAAATAAACTTTTACTCCATCAGTTTATACTAATGGTGTGTAGATAAAATAATTCATGCTTAAATGAAAGTAAAATTTATTAGATAAATTGAAAAAGTATAACTGCAAAAACCTGAGAATAGTACAGTTTGAGTAAAGTAGAAAACAAAAAACGGTTATTGACTGTAAGTTAGATATAAACTCTACTCTGTTTTTCTTTGTCTCATTTGCTTGGCGAATATGTTTGCTTAAAAATAACTTAGTATTTGTTATATGAATAATTTAGTAAACATACCTTCTCATGTTTGCTTCAAAAAAGAACATAATATTCTGGTTATATGAAAGTGTAATGGAATAGATAGTCAAATAATTCAAATTTGCAACAAAAAAACTGTTAGTAGCACAGTTTGAGTAAATTGAAAAAAACAAAAACTCTTCTGGATCCTCGAGCATCTCGGAGAAATGCAAAGGTTGCGGGAATTTTAAGAGAATGAAGGTGTGTAAGATGGAATTTTCAAATTGTCAATTTTGTGTTTATGATGATGTTATGAGACGTCTAAGGTTTAGAGTATTTATAGACTCATTAATTAGGTCACACATACCTAGCATATACTGCAACTAATTAGGGATAAAATCTTTGGAATCGTTATGATTTAGGAATATGCTAGCATTTACAATTTGAAGAGTAATAACTTTGTTTCGTAAAATCGATTTTTTACAGATATGGAGAGAAGAAATCTTAGAAAAGGAATGTTGGGAGTAAGTAGTTGATAGAAGAAATCTCGGAGTAGATATTTTAGAAATAAACCGTGCAGATTTTTTGGAGAGATTTTTGCCAAAGTTTCAAATCTAAATATTCGCAATATATTATCTTTAAATTTTTAAATCAAAGTAATTAATACTAAGTATCCGCAGCCGATCATTTGTTAGAGTAATTATGGAATTGTTTTGGAAGTAATTAGAGGATATATCTCAGTTTGAAATTAAGACAACATTCCTTAAAATCCTTATCCAAGATCCGGATATAGTTAATCCCGGATAAAACCCGGATCCAAAAGAATTTATGCAAAAAAACCCTGTAAAAATGTATATGTAGATTACTCCACATACAAGATTTTCAGCACTTGTTGATTTAGATTCTAATTTTTTTCTTTCAATAATCGCAAAAAGTTCTTAATTTATTAATGTTTAAAGTGGTATGACTCAAAATTACTTTTAGATAAAATATTTTATTAACGATGACTTGTATAACAACTTTTTTATCAAATGTTTTTTTCAATGAATGTTTTTATATATTTATAAGTAAAAGAACCTTTGTGAGACGCAAACATAAAAACAACTCAGTTTTTTCCTATAATAGTGTCTACGTAAAAAGGTGTTCAAAACCTAATGGGTGGAACTTTTCATCCCTAAATATTGCATATTCAGAGATGTGGAAACTTTGTTCATAAAAGTCAAGCTGAAAACAAAACAAAAAACAAGAAGAATAAAAAAAAAGAAAGAGGAGGATTCTCTCCACTCTCCACGTGACAGAGGATAGTGCTTTGCAATATCTAAGCAAACATAAAAGTGTCGCCACGATTCCAAAAATTAAGTCCTTGAAACGAATAACCTCAGAATCAGTCTAGGACAATTCTTGATTGTTTAAGTGTCTCGCCAAAAGAATTAGCTAAAGACGTCTATGAAGGTATTTTCGATATGCGCCTTGCTGCTGTGAGAAAAGTATCTTCCTCCCAGGATGATGTTCGGATGGCTTACCATGAGATGGATATCCATCGCTTATGCGAATATTCTTCAATAAAAATTGTCAGACTTTAAGAATTAAAACGAATTTTGGTTGTTTTGCAATTTTTGAAATGGATAAACTTCTAAAACCATATGTAAGAGTTAATTTCTAACTTAAAAGAAAATAAGGTGAATGGAAGAAATCTTCGATATATAAACAAAAAAAAAATTTCAAATAGATTTATAAAATGTGGACTAGAATCTAAGAAAAAATCTTATAAATCATATTTGCGCCACAAAAAGAATCAAGATTTTAATCACCAACAATGTCATTATCACCGCATATGCAACCCAATTACTCCACATGCAAGATTTTCTGCACTTGTTGATTTAGATTCTAAAAAAAATTTCTTCAACAATCGCAAAAAATTTCTAATTTATTGATGTTTATAGTGGTGTGACTGGAAATTACTTTTATCCTTTTTAACGATGATTCGCATAACTTTTTTTTTTATCAAACTTTTTTTTTCAATCAATGTTTTTATATATTCATAGATAAAAGAACGTTTGTGCGATGCAAACATACAAGTAACTCAGTTTTTTCCTATCAAAGCATATTTAGATATGCGAAACTTTGCTCATAAAAGTCAAGCCGAAAATAAAAAGGGAACTTTGGCAAAGATGTAGACAGTAGACGTTCCGGTAGTAGGGTTGATGACGGTAGAGATCTGACCAAACCATAAACATGTGAAGCCATCGGCGTACTCCATCTGTCGCCTTTGGTAAGAGGAGGAGCAGAGGAAATATGCCAAATTTTGGTCAAGAACTCTTGAACTAGTAAAATCCCAACCCACCTTGACCTCAGAAGAGAAAAAAAGGATTTGTTACTATTTCTACTGAACCTTTCATACTTTCTTATGAACGAAGGATCTTCGAGAGCGGAGAAGATGAAGAAGAATAGTCTGCTCTAGGGACTAGTCGTACGCATATTCTGAATCACTTCTGAAGAAGACCTAAGCAATACCTCAATGATTAGGTCATGATGATCCGTATAACTATCTTAATAAGATTGGTTAGTTAAAATTTATTCAAGCATTACCCATGTGTTAATTGTTGTTGTAACCATCTAAATCCTTGTTACTCACGTTAATCTTATCGTATGATTCTCCACCTCCATTCCATTGCAATTTCAGGCATTTATAATTTTTTAATTCCGATTCAAAATCATCAGAAGAATCATTTTTCACAACCGATGTGAAAAAATCTGTTATAGTCAAATTTTGGTCAATTAAAATATCTTTTTTGAAGGATTGAATATGTAAAAATACCTCCAATTCTTTGAAATAAAAGTCGCAATTATATAATTCTTCTTTTTTTCCAAAAAAGATATTTCACACTCATAAAGTTCTTAATCAGATTTTTTTTTTTTTTTTGGCACACAAAGTTCTTAATCAGATTATTGCTGAAAGAGGAGAATTTTATGAATGTAATGAAGGGCGAGATCTGCAAGCTCATGTACACGTGTCATATGAACGGTCAAGATTCGAAGAGCACAAATGCACAATCCAATATTCCGTCCGTTGCTCTTCCTCTCTCACGTGGCAAATTATTTTGGCTCCTTCACAAAAAAAATCCCGCCAACAGTGCAAAATTTCAATCTCCTTTTAATTTTAAAAAATCAATTATTATTTTATTATTATAATATCGCATCAAAATCTCCCCAAAAAAAAAAAAACCCTACTCACTCATACGCTCTTCGTCAAACAAACAAAAAAAACCCTAAAGGTAAAACTCGCTCCTACCGTTTCTCCCAAACTCAGTCCGAGTCAAAACGATTCTCTAACGATTCTTCTTCCTTCTTTTTCAATCGCAGCAGAAACTTCGACATGAAAGGCGGCGAATCCAAAGCTGAAGCTACGAGCACTGATCAGAGGTTTTGTTTCTTCGCCGACTCTGAGATCCAGATTTGTTTTCGCATCTTCAAAATCTGATTTCTTCGTTTTTCGATTATTTAGACTCAAAACCAGAGGTAGAAAGCCTGGGAAGAAGACGAAGAAGGATCCAAATCAACCTAAGAGACCTCCAAGTGCTTTCTTCGTCTTCCTGTAATTTCACGAATCTTCCTTCGATTTTGAAATTTCGAATTGCTTTTCGATTTTTATAAATTTTGAATTGGTTTCTGTTGATCTTAGTGAGGATTTCCGAAAAGAGTTTAACCTAGCGAATCCGAATAACAAATCCGTCGCTACTGTGAGTATATTTCTCCGAAATTTCTGGAAATTTTTCTCAGATCTATAATCTGAAACCTAGTATTGGTTTGTGTAATTAGGTTGGTAAGGCTGCTGGAGCTAGATGGAAGTCTATGACTGAGGAAGTAAGTAGTATTAGTAGCCATTGAAATGCTTGATTTGTGGTTTTGTGGATCTGTATTCAGAACTTTGTGGTTGTTTGAATCTGTAATTACAGGATAAAGCGCCTTACGTCGCCAAGGCCGAGAGCAGAAAGACTGAATATCTTAAGACTATGCAACAGTACAACATGAAACTGGTATAAACTCTTCACTTTGTAGAGAGATTGTTCTTTTGGTCTTCTTGTGCTGTTGCTAAATAGTCTTATTGTGTGAATATTGTGTAGGCTAGTGGAACCAATAGAGGTGAAGAGGATGACTCTGACAAATCCAAGTCTGAAGTGGACGAAGCAGGAAGCGAAGAGGTTTTTACTGAGACTTAACTCTATTGTTTTTGGAACGTTGTACATGTATTTTGATGTTTGACATTTGTGTTTCTTTTGGATTTTTGCTTTGCAGGAGGAGGAAGACGACGATTGAGGCTTTCTACTAGGTCTTGCGATTGACTTGACTCAGATTTGAGAATGTAAACTTGCTTAGAGATGACCAAAAACTTTTAAACTGGTTATGCTTTGTGTTTGTGATATTTGAACCTCATTTGCTACTTCAATGTGGTTTTAGGTCAGTTTGTAGGGATAATATCACTTGACTGCTATATTTTCCCCATTTCATTGTTTTCACTAGAATTTATATGTTGTTCAACTTTGGATAAGTGGTATGGTTTTAGTATCAGCTTTATTTCTTCTACCTCCTATGCTAATTGTTTGGCTTCTGTTTTTACTTTTGAGTTAATCTTGTCTCTGATTTTGGCATCTTGTGCTATTTGACTCTTGTGACTGAGAAAAGTTCTACTTGTCTGGCGTTTTCTAAGGAATATTTGATCTCTAACTTCGAATTAGAATAGAATCTTCTTGCTGGACTGGGTCATATACCATTTATCTGTCTGTTTGCTGTTGTGCTTAAATATTTTAGGAAAATTCCAATATAATGGTTTGGACTTTGGAGCCTCCTTATTGAACGAACACTAGAGATGCAAAATGGTTTAAGGTTTGGTTTGGTTTTTTAGTATTTTTTTTTATAAAAAGTTAAAACCAAATAAAACTTTTTGTAACTTGATTTGGTTATGGTATGCAGTTTGGTTTTCTTTTGTTTGATGAAAATTTCGGTTTGGTTTGTTTTGATTTTTGTTTTGGATTCAGTTTATTTTACGCTAGACCAATATTTCATTGATAACCTGAGAAAAAAGGAAATTAGTAATGAATATGTAGACTGCAATGTAATATTTACATCTGGTTGTATGTTATATATAAACTAGTAAAATCCATTGATTCATAAACAAATTTGTTTGGGTGTCGTTTGGATGTGTTTGTTATGGTTATTTGTCCACCCCTATTGAACTCAGAATTAGAATAGAGTCTTCTTGCTGGACTGGGTCATATACCATTTATCTGTCTGTTTGCTGTTGTGCTTAAATTTTTTAGGAAAATTCCAATATAATGGTTTGGACTTTGGAGCCTCCTTATTGAACGAACACTAGAGATGCAAAATGGTTTAAGATTTGGTTTGGTTTTTAGTTTTTTTTTTTTTTTTTATACAAAGTAAAACCAAATAAAACTTTTTGTAACTTGATTTGGTTATGGTATCCAGTTTGGTTTTCTTTTGTTTGATGAAAATTTCGGTTTGGTTTGTTTTGATTTTTGTTTTGGATTCAGTTTATTTTACGCTAGACCAATATTTCATTGATAACCTGAGAAAAAAGGAAATTAGTAATGAATATGTAGACTGCAATGTAATATTTACATCTGGTTGTATGTTATATATAAACTAGTAAAATCCATTGATTCATAAACAAATTTGTTTGGGTGTCGTTTGGATGTGTTTGTTATGGTTATTTGTCCACCCCTATTGAACTCAGAATTAGAATAGAGTCTTCTTGCTGGACTGGGTCATATACCATTTATCTGTCTGTTTGCTGTTGTGCTTAAATTTTTTAGGAAAATTCCAATATAATGGTTTGGACTTTGGAGCCTCCTTATTGAACGAACACTAGAGATGCAAAATGGTTTAAGATTTGGTTTGGTTTTTAGTTTTTTTTTTTTTTTTTATACAAAGTAAAACCAAATAAAACTTTTTGTAACTTGATTTGGTTATGGTATCCAGTTTGGTTTTCTTTTGTTTGATGAAAATTTCGGTTTGGTTTGTTTTGATTTTTGTTTTGGATTCAGTTTATTTTACGCTAGACCAATATTTCATTGATAACCTGAGAAAAAAGGAAATTAGTAATGAATATGTAGACTTCAATGTAATATTTACATCTGGTTGTATGTTACATCTGATTCATAAACAAATTTGTTTTGGTGTCGTTTGGATGTGTTTGTTATGGTTATTTGTCCTTAGACCTAATAATGCTCTTGAGCATTCTTGATGAAAGACTGTCGTTCTGTTTCTCGTTGTTAGCTTTCGGGTAAAGGGATAAACCGTAAGATATTGGCTTTGATTGGTGAACAAAAATAAAGCTGTACAGCTTTGACAGTTAACAATCATAAAAAACTTTATGAAAAGCGGTACACTATAACATAAACAGTTTTTTTTGGACAAAAACAAAAACAAATTAAAACGGTTACGGTTAAATACGGTTATGGTTAAATACGGTTACGATTAAATACGGTTATAACGGTTACGTTTAAATACAGTTATAACGGTTACGGTTAAATACGGTTAAGGATAATTACGGTTATAGTTATTTAATGACTACAATACGGTTAATATCGGAGGCGAAATCTTACGAGTTACCTAACTTATTATAATACTTTTCATAAAATCAAAAAGTATGTTACAAACCAAATTTTCTTCATTTCGAGCAAAATAACAGTATAACATATTTGTTTAAGAAAAAGACCATTTTTTATAACGTAGATTTTTCATATGCGGTATCATTTACTTTTTTGAAAATCTTAATCTGAACATTCGATAATTGTTTTTGCATTATATGGAGTTACAATTATATTTTTAAAGTTTTAACTATGCGGTTAACCATATGGTTAAATAACGGTTTTTATATGTTTACCGTTAATTAACGGTTACAGTTAATATATTTTTTAACTGTAACTAATTATTTTTTACGGTTAACGGTTACGGTTTTTAACCGTTTTATACGGTTACGGTTGAGAAACGGTCCGTAACCGTAATCGTATTTTGGATCGTAACTGGACCAAAAGCTAACCGTAACCGTATTTTGGATCATAACTGGACCGTTTTTCAACCGTAACTGTATAAAACGGTTAAAAACCATAACCATTCACCGTAAAACTAGATTAGTTACGGTTAAAAAAATATACTGACCGTAACCGTTAATATACCGGAAACGTATCAAAACCGTTATTTAACCGTACGATTAGCCGCACGGTTAACCGTATTATTAACCGCATAATTAAACTTTATAAAATATAATTGTAACTATGTATAATGCAAAAAAAAAAGTCTCGAATGTTCGGATAAAGATTTCTGAAAAAATAAATAATACAGCCTATGAAAAAATATCATTAGAAATAATAGTTTTTTTCTCGAACAATTATTTTGGAATGTTATATTGCTCAAAATGAAGAAAAATTTTATTTATTATAGGACTAGTAAATTCATATTATTATTCTAACAATAAAATATTGTCCATTCTATATAATCTTAATTTTCATATGTAATTATATACTAAAGTACATTTCTATGTAATTTTTTTTCTTTCTAAATTCTTAATATTATTTATTATGTGTATTGCTAGGATGTTTCCAATCAGAGTAAATTTTTAAAATTTGTTCTGCGTTATTTTTTTGTACAGCTTTCGTGTTTTATTCTTTTGTACAGCTTTGCACTATTCCCTAACATCTAACAGCTTTGCATTATTTCCTAACAGCTAACAGCTCCAGCTAACCGCTCCAGCTAACAGCTAACAGCTTGTTACCAGATTCATGGTTGACTTCGGCCCAAGAATGTGGTTGAACATGTTTTGGAATTTGGATCATTGTCATGAATATTGGGCTATATTTTAAAAAGGCCGATATAATGGTTATCGGATTTTCTCATATATTGGTACCACTCACTTGCCATATCTATAGGCCTATTAGATAAGTCTATTTGGGACCAACCTATAAAGGAACAAATGATATAAAGTAAAGTACTATTCCATCTTTTGTGATATGATTAAAGAAGCCGCTGAGGAGAGGAAGAATTCGATTGCATGTGAGTCTGATGCGACTTTTAGAAACTGATGTGATCAAAGACAAAAATGATTATGGTCGGCCCCATATAGATGATATTTTAGATGTGCAAGTTTGGGTTTAGTGCCCTTTTTAATGTTGTAAATAATATGGAGTATTATATAACAGAGTTTGTGCATTTCTAATCGTACCACCCGATTCTACATGTTTTCGAATTAAACTGCATTATCTGCATGAATTGTTCAAGAAACAAAAAAAAAATCGATACATTAGAATGACAAGACCAAACATGTGCATTCAAATTTCTATTGATATCCCCTTACTAACTCGAAAAGAATAAGGATATTCAAGTAAAAATATCTGATTATATGAGAATGTTTTAAAATCTCTTCGCGAAGTTGCTACCTAGCTATAACTCAGAAAACATGTTCATAAGTCATAACATTAAAATGCGTCATTAGCGAGACGTTAAAAAAATTGTCTGATTTACTAATTTTAATCTTACTATCTACTATACATTTTTGCAACACTTTTTGGGGTTCCTAATCGGGTCAAATTTTGTTTAATTTTGACCCGGAAATCTTCAATCGGATCTTTCCTTATTTTTGACAAAATTAAAAAACGAAAATTAATCAATAAAATCTAAAAAATATATATTTTCTCAACTAATTACTATACCTAAACTCTTTATTTATGGCATATTCTCTACAATTTTTATAGATATAGAAATCAAATTTGATTATTTAATGCTAATATAACAAATTTGAACTAATTTCCTAAAACCTCTCTACCTAATTAAAACATAAATATATGATTCTCATTTCACTTTTATATGATCTTATATTTATATTATTTTGAACTATTATAAAATATATATACTTTATAAAAAAAATCGATTTTTTTCTGCATATGCTATGATTCAAATTTTTTTTAAACGGACATATATTACTCAATTGATGAAGAAAAAAGTATGTGTACAATCTATATTAACATTTTTGAAAAACAAATTTGCGCGTTTAATCAGGTCGTATTTTTTTTTACTCTGACCCAGAATTGAGTCATTCAGATATTTTCTTAATTTCTACAATTATCTAAAACGGGACAATATACCACGGTGAAATCTTAAAATTAACAAATCGAAATACAATTATTTAGTATTTTAATATACATTTTTAAAATATTTTTCCGGGTTGGTCTAAAAACACACACTAATTTGAAAAAAAATATATATATATATATATATATATATATATATATATATATATATTATAGAAACTATTTGAAAGCAAACTTTTAAATTGACTTGAATTATATGTCTTTTAAATAAAAGTGTTATTAAAAGAAATAACAAAATGATGTTTAATTTTATGGGACATGATTATATGGTGGGACGGGTCGGATTTGGATTGATATTAATACGGGATAATATATCACGGGTGAAATCCTGGGATTAACAAATCAAAATACAATTATACAATTTTAAACACTAAACAAAACAAATATAACTTAAAATTTTCATTTTTAGTTACAACGCAT